TATTCCTTGTTTTCTGATTAGGAATGGATTTCTGGTCCCTTTTAAAGTCTACTTCAAATCTATACTTCTAACTAAAGTTTCATTCACTAATTAAATCTTCACATCTTCAAGCCTAGAATTTGTTGTTATTTTTCTTGCATAGCCCCAAGAATTTCACTTATTTCCCTTTCTTACACTAAGAAAAACTTGCACAGTAACCCTTTACCTTGAGTGGCTCTTGGGCCTTGTATTAGCTGAACATTAGTAACTATATATATATATATATATATATATATATATATATGAAGGGTGTTCCAATAACTTGAACCGATTTTAAATATCAATTAAGTTCAAGCGTCCAATGATTGTTTTCTTTTTCTTTCAGATTTGGCGGACATTTTGGCGATATTATTTTTCACATATGATTGCCATGACTTAAATAACATGATCCAATAGAGAAATAAATAAATTTTCACCAATAACACTAATTTATTTACTGCTGACTTTGATCCGTCTTAATGAAACACCACTCTTTATATATGTATGTATTTCTAAAGTAATGGATTTTTGATTTATTAATCTGACATATTTTATCACTTTATAAGTTATTTTTAATGGATATTCGTATTTGAGTAGACGGTCCGTTTATTTATTAAACAGTATATTTTTTTATTTTTCATATCCCGGTGAGAATATTCGAGAAATCGTATTAAAGAAAAATATGCGCTCTCCCCAGGATTCGAACCTGCGTCCACAGTTTATATGTATATAGTGGTTCGTTTCTAGTGACAAGCAAAAAAATCTGCGAGTGGGGAATATTGGCGTAAGAGATGGGGGCGGAAAATTGAGTAGATGGAGTGTTAGCCGAATCATTGTCCTTGTTGCTAATCCGCGACAACCTGATTAATGGGTAAAATCCGAATTGGCGGTGGCAGGGGGTATCCTCCATTGTTATTCAGGGAAGAAATTAGGGGAATTATCATTGGTAACCAGGTTAGATTATCTCAATAAATGTGAAAGTGTGTCGGCGAATGGTGCCTGTGTGTGGAGCGGGTATGTGAACGAAAGAGAAAAAAAAGAGAAAGCGAGTGAGAGAAATGGAGAGAGAGAGGGAGAGAGAGAGAGAGAGAGAGTTATAATAAGAGATTGAGAGGGAGAAAACGAAAGTGCAAAAAAGATAGATATAGAGAGTGTAAAAAGAAGGAAAAGTCTGAAAAAAGAGGAATAGATATCGATAAATATGTTTGTGCGCGCGTGGGCGTGCATTATGGATACGCGCGCGCGCGAGAGAGAGAGAGAGAGAGAGAGAAAGAGAGAGGAAAGAGAGAGAGAGAGAGAGAGAGAGAAATATAGAAAATGTAAACACATATATAGAAGTAAACATATAGATATATAGATATAAATGCGTACGTGCAAGTGCGTGTGTGTGGGTTCACGCAAAAGAAGTTGAGAAACAGATATACATGGTCAATGATGATAGATAGATATAGAGAGAGGCAGAGAAAGAGGAGGTGGAGGAGAAATAAATAAAGAGAAAGAGAGAGGTATGCAAATACTGACAAAACCAATCACCTAAAAAAAAAAACAAATAAATATAAAAATATAGATAGAGAGATAGAGAAAGAGGATAAAAAAAGAGAATAACCAAAAGATAGTGTCAGAGATAGAGAGAAAGAGAAAGAGAGAGAGAGAGAGAGAGAGAGAGAGAGAAACATTCAGACAGGGAAAGTGAGAGAGTGAGAGAGAGTGAAAGAAAGAAAGAAAGAAAGAAAGATAGAAAGAAAGAAAAGAAAAGAAATGAAAAGGAGATATAAAGAAATACAAAATTTTGAAGATGAATTGTAAAAATACATGTTATATAACGTGGGAGCAGGAAATACAATCTTAACCACTTCAAGTCAGGACTCAATCTTCCTTATCTTCACCACAACTTTAATTTACATCACAGACCCCACTCAACATTACAATATTAAAATAACCTGCTACCTTTAAGGACTCTCGAGCATTGTATTGGATGGAGTTAAGCAAAAAAAACAAAACACAAAAAACAAACAGAAATATTTTCTTGACCAGTAATGAATAATAAAAGAGAAATTATAATCTTCCACTAAACGGTTACAAACCGTAATTGTTACTGTGAAAAATAAATCCATTCGCAGAACAGTTTGTAGAAATCATATTTCCTCATGTGGAACAGGCATTATTTCACGTTAAAATTTCCCTTGAATCCAATACATATATATACATATATATACATATATATAAATAAATTATTTATACATTATTCATAAATAAATTATTTATACATATATATATACATATATATATATACATATATATACAAAATTTACGTGTATTACGTGAAAAAGTTTGAACGTGTGTATTGAATAAACACACATTTTGCAGTCATACATATACATGACATACTCCTTTTGGCTAAATACAGGCGATTACTTACAAGAATGGACCAATCAAGAGCAGGCATAAAGCCATAAGAGTGAACCAATCTGGATCAATATCACATATGAATGTCTTCGATAGCAACTTCGTTGTACGGCAGTTGCTCCAGTCTGTAATTAAATATTCTATTTAGTTTTATTTAGCATTGAAAAACAGTGTTAGACTAGCAGAGAACTCAGTGAGGTTCGAACTCAAAATAGTCTGCGAGACGATCTTGTTAACCATAACTTTACTTTAATTACAATTTTCAAAATCCAATTTTCGATTGATACTTTGCGTCTTGTTTGAGGAGGGTACTAATTTCGGAGACGCCCAGGAACGTACAGAATATCTCCTTTCTCCTCAGATCTATTGCTGAAATAATAATATGTCAGACAATACGTGGGTGGCGGGCTGAAAAGTTCATAGGCTGACCAAGATATAAATACAAGTCGACACACCAGTTTGTAGAATATATATATATATAATATATATATATATATATATATATATATACGGAACCGTCAATTGATCTGACGTGGTATACTACTGAGCTACAGAGAAGCGTCTGTTTAGTAAAGTCTAAATTACTGTTTATAAACAACAAATCTTCGACGATCTTTCCTGAATGCTCATATCTGCTCATGAAACGTAGCTTAACGTAAACATTGACAACATTATGAAATGGATTAAGTCCGGCAATTATTTAATATATTTTCTGTTTATTCAGACTTATACTAATTTTTCTTATCCACAGAATTGTTCTGGGTATTTTATTATATTGTCGACATGGGGGAAAAACTCTTAGTATAAAAGAAGTTGACATTATCCAGAATGAGGCTTATGCAAAAGCGTCTCTCTCTTTTTAAATTTTGGATTTAATGTAACTACGTAAAAAGCCTATTTTCATTTTTATACCAATTTGTCTTATCCGTAGAATTGTTCTGGGAAGTTTATATACCATACTGTCTATCTATGCCATATATATATATATATATATATATATATATATATATATATATATATATATATATAGAGAGAGAGAGAGAGAGAGAGAGAGAGTGAAATAAAAACGACAAGAATCTTGTAAAAAACAGTAACAAAAACGAAAATTAAAAAAAACTAAGCAGACCCTCAAAAAAATAAAAAACGAAAAAAAAAAAACAAAAAAACAAACAAAAAAATCAAAAAAACAACAACAACAAAAAACAAACGTAGTTGAGGAGAGAGAAACATTATCGAAAAGGAAACATTGGCGTAAAAAGGAAACGGGGAGATAGGGAGTTGAGACCTTGTTCTGTCTTATCATGCTCATCCAGTCGACAAAGCCTTTCCAGATGGTTTGTCAACGCCAGAAACAAGTACCCAGCTCCATCTCACTCCCCGATGTGTATTGTCACCTGGTTACCTTGGTAACCCGATTACTTAATTGTTACACTAAGAGCTTGTTGTGATTTAAGCATCTGCTTACGGCCTGTTCCGTGTTGTCCTCTTAGGGAAGGGTAGCAAGTGTGGGGACACGAGACATTTTGGTGGGATGGGAGGTAAGATGTGTGTGTGAGAGAGAGAGAGAGAGAGAGAGAGAGAGAGAGGCAGAGGAAAGTACATCGTGACAAGAAGGAAATTCGTCTTGGTCTGTTTCGTAATTGAGAGAGTGGTGTATTTTCCAATTGGAATTTCTTATTTTTCTTCATTTTTGTGCCGTCTACCTTGTGGGTGATTATAGCTCTCCACAACTTCCTATTCTTTGTAACTCTTAGCAATTGTTGCCTTTTTACTACCCCTCCCTCTCCCTGTTCTGCCATCCATTTACACAAGCTTGTTAGGTAGTCTACTCAATGTTTTTGTCTGTCTCGATTGCCTTCAATATGCCTTGTAAGTGTCAAATTCTCCAAGCCCATTTTTTTCGTTACGTCTCATAAATTTCAACTGCATTTTTCTAGTTTTAATATGTTTCTTTTTTTTTAATACCATTTTCCTTAAGACTTCCTCGTTGCTCACATCTCTCGTTTATGGAATTCTCAGCATCCTTCTGTAAAACAAAAAAATTCTGTTGACTCCAGTTTTCTTTCAGTTGGGATGAGATTGTCCAGTATTTACTGTCATATAGGGGGATTGATATTGCACAACACTTCAGTAATCTTTCCTTTGTTTAGGATATCGAATGTTGATTTTCAAGGCTGGTACGTTCTCTTCACTTGTAGGATCGATACGACATTCAACTTGACCCCATTTTCTTCCATTTGGCCTGGATCCAGATTATGTTACGATGTTGCCTGGTAACTGAGGTATTTGTGTTTTGCTATTGGTGTCATGTAAAAATAAGAATTTTAAATAATTTTGACGGCAGACAAACGCTGTTTATTTAGAAGATTGGCACAACATATTCTTCCTGACATAATTTTCTCCTATTCCGATATATTGTCTTTATGACGGACTAAGCTTAGGAAATATGTTTATCGTACACCTGGTTTGGTGGCCTGTCTGGGTTTGGCCAGAACTGTTCCGGCGTAAGGGCAGGGGTTTGTCAGGCAGTTAGAAGTTTTTATCCCTTTTCTTCATTTTGTCATCCCTGAGACTAAATGGCGGGATATTGGACCGTGAAGACTGTAATGAAAAAGAGTTAAACCTGTAATATAAATACTTCCAAAGGTTCGCTAAAAAATGGGTTTTATTGTGAAAATCTTTATGTTATCATTAAGAGAAAAGTATTTTTTGATTATTAAATAATATATACTATTTACATTATTCGGACTATTGTTCTCATCTTTGTCGCCATATTTATTACAACGTTAATTCCCTCTCCAAGTTCTCCACCGCCTTAACCAGGTATTGAACTCACACTCTTTAGGTCTTGTCAGTGGATCTAACTAACGCCTTTAACCACTGTGCCATGTACCATTGAGGGATTTAAACAGGAGATAACTGATAACTGACATCCATTAGACATGGCACGTGGAACTAGAAAAGTCTACCCCAGTGAGCGAAATAAAGGGTTCAGTTGACATTCCAATCACCTGAAGAAGGTACAACGGCCGAAACGTTTTAATAAATATGGCGACAAAGATGAGGACAATAGTCCGAATAATGTAAATAATGTACATAATACCTCATCACAGAAGTATAGACAGATAAATAATATATTTTAATCCTTTTCAGATTCATCACAATCTTGTAATTAAAAGAAAAACTTGTAGTTCTAACGAATGATTTATTTCATGGAAATATTTCGACTAACTGTTGCTAGTCTTGGTCACTCCTTTAATTTAAGTAAAACAATGCAAAGAAACTAGAAACGCTTAAGAATTCGAATGAAGGAAAAAAAAACCGATTTGATGACGTTTACAAAGTAAGAGCATACGCTTTTTTAAGCGAAGTCCATGCCTTCTTCGTATCAAAGTTAGGATGTTTGTTTCCTTTGGTAGTTGCATAATTAAAAAAAATGTTATTTTTCTTTTAATTATGCACCTACCATCGGAGACCAAAGTTTTGGTTAAAAAAAAACTTTTTTAACGTCGTCGGGTGACCATAAATTAGTATGAACATTTTAGCGTCGTTTTTGCAGTGAAAAACACATTGATTTGGAAATTCTTGAAAAATCGAATAATTGTCGGATTTTAATGAAACTTTCAGGACTTATTCACAAATGAATGACTTTCTTTTACGAACGTTTATTTTTTTTTAGAAAATCTGGGTAAAAATATATTTTACATTTATTACCCCACCCACTTATTTAATTTTATGAAATTTCGAGAAATTAATTTTTGTAACGCATAATGTTTTTATTAGTTATAAGAACAAGAACTTGTAGAATTTAAATCATCGCATTCTTTTTTGTAAAACAGGATCCCCAGTTACAGAAAATCTGTTCTGAATCGTAAAATAAAAGTTGCAATAAAGCTAAGACATTATTTTATAAGAAAAACTTTTATTTGCATTTATGAATAAGATATAGGAACTATTGTCTTAAGAAAAAATAATTTCGATGATTAATAAATTTTTACAAGAATTTTTTTAATTTTAAAAAATCTTAATTAGAATAATTTAAAACTGTTCAGAATCTTTTAAAATTCTGTATTAATTTGTTGCGGGAGGTTAGATAATATTGTTGTTAAATACAAACTATATCTACAAAACATAAATGGAAAACCTTACTACAATTCAGCGACCCCAGTATTTAAAAAATTTAGAAATTTTGTGTTTGTATAAACGTGCCGATTTTTTGCAAATACGGACGTCCATACACGATATAAATTTTCAAACATAAGTCTATCAACACCTCATAAAAATACCCCAATACATGTATAAAATTGCTTTTCTGCGAAATTTTAAACTAAAAGTAGGTAATATATGCTTCAAATGATATTAATTAAACTTTAAATCAGCTAAGCTTCCTCAGATAAAGATTTTTTTAAAAATAAAGAGTCTTACGTTGTGCTGACAGATTTGTAAATTTGGCTAAAATCAGCCATTTAAAAATCATTCCGATCAATCTAAATTCCTTTTGAAATACAATAAAGTATTTTGCTTATTGGAAATATTAAATTTAATTTATTAGCTTGACAATAAACATAAAATAAAAACTTCAAGAAATAATTTTTATTTTTTAAAATTCATTTTAAAATTTAGACATCGGTTTTCTTTGGAGGTACATACTATGATAAAAGTAGAAAACTGTCCCGATTTGAGGTTTGGAAATTTCGCAAAATACGGTAAAAGAAAGAAATAAAGTAAATAGGTAAGAATGAAATGAAGGAAGAATTAAAGACAAATACAATAAAAGACAGGAGAAAGAACCAATAAAACGAGAAAAGAGAAAAGAAATATCGAAAAGAGAAGATAAAAAAAGCTAACGAAAAGGTTGAAATGATAAAGAAAGGATACGTTGGAGAAAAAAAAAAGTGAGTGAGGTGAGCAGAAAACCCGAACAGTCGAGTGCTAGTATGTAAGCCTCGCAAGTTTCCATGTCTTCAATCTGTGCTGGCTTCTGTACTGCTTGGCTTAGAAAATTGTTTCTTTTATATCTCCAATTGTTTACAATTCCTGGTTTCATTTTAATAATTTAATTCGAAATCAGGCTTTTTATAACGCGTTCTTTTGTTTTAAATTATAAAATTCAAAGATTTCAGAATTTTTTACTTACTTACTTTCTTTCTTTTTTTCTTATTTGCCTTTTACTCCATTTTACACATTCATTCATTAATTCTTCTTTCTTTCTTTCTTTCTTATTTGCTTTCCATTGCCTTTTACACATTAGTACATTCTTTCTTTCTTTTTTTTCTTTCTTTCTTTCTTTTTTTCTTATTCCCCTTTTACACATTAGTTCATTAATTCTTCTTTCTTTCTTTCTTTCTTTCTTTCTTTCTTTATTTTATTCATTCATTCTTTTTTTCTTTCTTTCTTTCTTTCTTATTCTCTTTTACACATTCATTCATTAATTCTTCTTTCTTTCTTTCTTTCTTTCTTATTTACCTTCCATTTCCTTTTACACATTAGTTCTTCTTCTTCTTTCTTTCTTTCTTATTCCCTTTTACACATTAGTTCATTAATTCTTCTTTCTTTCTTTCTTTCTTTCATTCATTAATTCTTTCTTTCTTTCTTTCATTCATTCATTAATTCTTCTTTCTTATTCTCTTTTACACATTCATTCATTAATTCTTCTTTCTTTTCTTTCTTTCTTTCTTTCTTTCTTTCTTTCTTATTTACCTTCCATTGCCTTTTACACATTAGTACATTCTTTCTTTCTTTTTTCTTTCTTTCTTTTTTCTTATTCCCTTTTACACATTCATTCATTAATTCTTCTTTCTTTCTTTCTTTTTTTCTTATTTACTTTCCATTTTCTTTTACACATTAGTTCTTCTTCTTTCTTTCTTTCTTTCTTTCTTATTCCCTTTTACACATTAGTTCATTAATTCTTCTTTCTTTCTTTCTTTCTTTCTTTCTTTCATTCATTCATTCTTTCTTTCTTTCTTTCTTTCTTTCTTATTCTCTTTTACACATTCATTCATTAATTCTTCTTTCTTTCTTTCTTTCTTTCTTTCTTTCTTTCTTTCTTTCTTTCTTTCTTTCTTATTTACCTTCCATTTCCTTTTACACATTAGTTATTTTTCTTCTTTCTTTCTTTCTTATTCCCTTTTACATATTAGTTCATTAATTCTTCTTTTTTCTTCCTTTCTTTCTTTCTTTCTTTCTTTCTTTCTTTCTTTCTTTCTTTCTTTCTTTCTTTCATTCATTCATTCTTTCTTTCTTTTTTCTTATTCCCCTTTTACACATTAGTTCATTAATTCTTTCTTTCTTTCTTCCTTTCATTCATTCATTAATTCTTTCTTTCTTTCTTTTTTATTCCCTTTTACACATTCATTCATTAATTCTTCTTTCTTTCTTTATTTCTTTCTTTCTTATTTACCTTCCATTTCCTTTTACACGTTAGTTCTTCTTCTTCTTTTTTCTTTCTTTCTTCCTTCCTTTCTTTCTTTCTTTCTTTCTTTCTTTCTTTTTTTCTTATTTATCTTCCATTTCCTTTTGCACATTAGTTCTTCTTCGTCTTCTTCTTTCTTTCTTTCTTTCTTTCTTTCTTTCTTATTCCCTTTTACACATTAGTTCATTAATTCTTCTTTCTTTCTTTCTTTCTTTTTCTTTCTTTTTCTTTTTCTTTCATTCATTCATTCTTTCTTTCTTTCTTTCTTTCTTTCTTTCTTTCTTTCTTTCTTTCTTATTCTCTTTTACACATTCATTCATTAATTCTTCTTTCTTTCTTTCTTTCTTTCTTTCTTTCTTATTTACCTTCCATTTCCTTTTACACATTAGTTATTTTTCTTCTTTCTTTCTTTCTTTCTTTCTTTCTTTCTTATTCCCTTTTACATATTAGTTCATTAATTCTTCTTTTTTCTTCCTTTCTTTCTTTCTTTCTTTCTTTCATTCATTCATTCATTCTTTCTTTCTTTCTTTTTTCTTATTCCCCTTTTACACATTAGTTCATTAATTCTTTCTTTCTTTCTTCCTTTCATTCATTCATTAATTCTTTTCTTTTCTTTCTTTTTTACTCCCTTTTACACATTCATTCATTAATTCTTCTTTCTTTCTTTATTTCTTTCTTTCTTATTTACCTTCCATTTCCTTTTACACGTTAGTTCTTCTTCTTCTTTTTTCTTTCTTTCTTCCTTTCTGTCTTTCTTTCTTTCTTTCTTTCTTTCTTTTTTTCTTATTTATCTTCCATTTCCTTTTACACATTAGTTCTTCTTCGTCTTCTTCTTTCTTTCTTTCTTTCTTTCTTTCTTTCTTTCTTTCTTTCTTTCTTTCTTTCTTATTTGGCTTCCATTCCCTTTAGTTCTTTTTTTTTCTTATTTATCTTATTTTTCTGTTTCTTCTTTCCCATTTTGATTTTCTTTCACTTTTCTGCTTTATGTTTCTCTTTTTTTTGCTTTACCTTTTTACCTCGTTCTTTTTCTTACAACGAAATTATATCCACTCTTTTCCTCCTTTTCTTTTTCTTCTTCCATCTTTCGCTTTCTTTCATTTTTGACTCTTCCCTTTTAGCGGAAACAATAACTCTGTCCTCTGCTTCAACAAGATAAGAACATTGCATCCTTTTTAGAAATGCAATACAGGCAAACAATTTAAAAGGAGAATTTTGTCCTCACTCCATTAAAGTCCAGCAACAAGAACCCAAGTAAAATAAAATCAGCAAAAAGACCCCCCTCAAAAAAAGCAATACAGTACGTAATTTATTTATCACAAACAAACGTATCCCGACACTCATCTTTGTTTATCCTTAATTTAATTTTCGTCTTTTTTATTCTCTTTCATTGAACCAAGACTAAAAATAATGTCTTTGCAACAAATAACAATCTACCAAAGTAAATAACAAACACGTATCAATTCCATCTCGAAATGAAAGAAGCCCATCTAAATTTTGAAATACCTGACCCATCTTGCTGTCTTTTGATTGACCATCAATTCTCTCTTCTTTCGTACCTTATTCTATTTAAACACAGCTCCACACACGGACGAGTGTAGAGCAAACATCTTTTTGAATTCGAAGTCCATTATGTTGTATTCGCTTCTTTCGGTTTCCATTCTCTTCACTCATCTCGACTGTCATTTGGTTTAACGGCACATATCTTCATCAACACGCTCAAAAAATTAGAATGGACATGCGCGACACAGTTTTTAGGCCACAGATTAGAGCGAAAGAAAAACAATATATGTGGTTCGATCCAAGTTAAAGGCTCATTGCGAATAGGTCCGTGACAAACGTAAATGAATACTTTTATTCTTTTTTTAAAATTATATAGTCTTCTGTTAGTTGAATATAATTATCCAACAGAAGGCCTTTGGTGTCGTATTCTTTTTATTTTTTGCCGTAAGTGAAATTGTTCCGATAACGAGATGAGTTTAGTAGAAAATAAGACAAATTGTTAACACACACACAAAAGCGCGCACACAGAGGATGCGATGGATAAATTGTCGTCTAAATAACGCAAAAATGAAAATAACACTGACATTAATTTTAGATATATTTACCAAAATTCGACAAAAATATACTGAAATACTAAAGAGTAAATTTGTTCAATAAAATTGCCATTGGCTTCAACTACGGCCTCCAGACGACTTCGGAATCTCCTGCAACTCTTCTGGACAATTTCCTTGTTTATATTGGTGAATGCTGACATAATTCTTACCTTCACCTCATCTTTGGTGTTGCAATTAGTTTTGATGGTCTGTCGTTCAACTGTGCCCCACACATAATTATCAAGGGGGTTGCAGTCTGGAGTTAGTTGGCAAGATGTAGGGGTTGATGTGGTCGCAGAAAGGGTCTAACCTCCTTGACTGGGTTCATCTGCTTGTGTATCATGGTGCAGAGTCCTGTTGCCAGACATGTTCTTCCAGCAGTCACCCTCTTGATCCAAGGCAGCACTACCTCCCCAAGGCACTTGATGTAGGCCTCCGTGTTGTGTCTGAGGCCCTCACCGACAAATTCGGGAGTTCTTTTCTTATCACAACGATCAGAGTGAGTTTTCCGAGCTGCTGTACCTTAGTAATCACCATCAGACTCATTCAACTCCTTCCAAATCCTCTCCACTGTCCTCAGATTGTCATCCAAACACTCTGAAATGTTCGTAATGGAGCTTTCGGTGCGAAGACTAAGCAATACAGCATGCCGTTCCCAAATTTCTGGCGGAGTGCATTGCGTCATGGTGCTCTTTTCCCCACAGACGGTGCTCAACTGGTCATACTATACTTTGCAGTCAGCAAAATCAAAAACAAACAATATGCATGCACGAAATTAAAAATATAAATTCGCAACAATTTACCCATCGCACCGCACTTTATATATATATATATATATATATATATATATATATATTATATGATAAATATGTAGTTTTAAGGTATGCTATATTTATGGGTAAATGTGCTTTATACCAGAGACTAGCAGTAGAGCCCGGCGTTGCCCGGGGATGTAACAGTAAGAGATAGATCAAGTATCGACCATCATAAAGACGGAAAAATAAAATTGACAAAGATTATTGTTTAAGGTTGACGGCCACGCATGTCTTAATTAGTTTTTTTTTTTTTTGCTTTTTTTGTTTTTTTTACGAATTGGTCAAACCCAAACTCAAACAAAAACATTGTTTTCAATCGTTATGAGCCTATCGATTGAATAGAATTTTATTATAAACAATTGTCTTGTAAATGGAATTTTTAAAGCATTCTGAATGTAAAAATAAAGAAAAAGTGTATAAGACAATAAGAAACACTACCTGCCAAAAAAAAAAAGTGAAATTTTGTTGAAATCGGTTGAAAAATGTAGGAAATCCGATCCCATATATAAAGAACACACACACACACACACACACACACACACACACAAACAACCTGGGTTTTATAAGTATAACTTGATATGAGTTGTCCCCCTTTCATTCTGGCGACAGAATCGTGTTTTCAAATTGATTTCGTGCAAAAACAATTGTGTTTTTCCAATTTTTGGCGCTGTCAGAACCACCGCAAGGTAATTTTACGCAGTCCTGTGAAGTTTTGTTGAAATCGGTTGAAAAATGTAGAAAATCCGATCCAATATATAAACGTACAGGCACACACACACACACACACACACACACACACACACACACACACACACACACAAAAAACACAAACAATCTGCGTTTTATAATAAGTAAGATAGTGTGTATGTAACTATAAATGTGGTCCCTAAGGTCGACACCAATCGGCAACAGTCAGTTTCATGCTTAAGCGCAATCTTCATGACTGATCGTCGACGTACTCTGAGGCTGGGATGGTGTGAAGCACGTCGGATCTAATGACGATTTACTCCCGCCAAGGAGGACGCAAGTTCGAATCCTGCCGGGGATGGCATATTTCTCTTTTAGAGGATTTCTCTAATATTCAGGCCGTTAGAGCAAAATATATCCGCGTCCTGGGTATGACGATAAACTATATCCGCCTCCTGGGTATGACGATAAACTATATCCGCGTCCTGGGTATGACGATAAACAACATCCGCGTCCTGGGTGTGACGATAAACTATATCCGCGTCCTGGGTATGACGATAAACTATATCCGCGTCCTGTGTAAGACGATACACTACATCCGCGTCCTGGGTATGACGAAATACATCCGCGTCCTGGGTAAGACTATAAACTATATCCGCGTCCTGGGTAAGACGATGAACTACATCCAACAGCAAGGACTCTCATCAGGAGCTTTTGAGGAGTGTGGAACCACCTCTTAATTGTTGGTGTTACCAGCAATGAATTTTTGAAGGAAAAAATATTACCAACAGCACATTTTTGGAAAAAAATATTAGCAGCAATACATTTTTGAAAAAAAAATTATTATTAGTAATAAAAATCTTGAGGCATAAATAACTCATTGAGGTTGATATGCCACAAACCAAACCAAACCAAACAAGCAAAATAAATAAATATCATTTTTAATAAATATACGGAACATCTACTCAAATACGAGTATCCACTAAAAATAACGTTTGAGTAATAAAATCTGTCAGATTATTAAATACAAATCTAACATTTGTTTAGAAAATTGTTTTGGTGGTGGTAGTGGTGGTGGTGGTGGGTCTCTGGATTTCGAAGAACCGCATTAAAGTTGAAAAAATTGCTCCTTTTTGAGAATTTATCAGATTTTTAAAAAAATAATGCTCAATTTTAAAATTTAATTGTGTTCTAATATATCATTATAAAAGTTGCAGAAAAATATATTACTCATTCAGAATAAATTGTGATCTTTGTTAATTTTATATCAATCTCTTTCTGAACTTAACTTAAAACATTATATACACTTTATCTTGAACATAAAAAAATGAAAAATAAAGAAATCCGTTTACTGTTTTGTTTTTTGCATGAATGCAATGTTAATCATAATGTTTCTCAAAATGCATCCAACATTAACAGAGCATAGGGTGAAGGATCCATTTGTGATCAGACAGATTGTTTCTGAAATTCCGTAGTGGGGATACGAGTCTTGAAGTTCAAGGTGATGTCCATCTGCAACTGATAATCAACGTCTGAAAACACTAACCGGATATAAGCCATGCCAGAGAAATATCTCATATAATGGAGGTCAACATTTCAACAATATCAGACCATCAAGAAATTGGCAAGGTGAAGAAACTCAATAAATGGGTTCCACATGATCTCAGCGAAAGTCAAAAAGTTTGATGTTTTGAAGTGTGCTCGATGTTGCATCTGCGAAATTCGAATGATACATTTCTTGATCGAATAGTGATTTGTGATGAGAAATGGATAATTTATAACAATCCTAAACGATTGGTTCAGTGGATTGATCGTGACAAAGTTTCCAAACACTTTCCAAAACCGAATATTATGGTTACTGCCTGGTGGTCCCTTTTTAAGGATAATAATGGTAACGAAAATAAGTAAATAGATAAAATAAATAAAAATAGTGGAAGAACGCCGAATGAGGTCGACTCAATTATGCATCTCTATCTATAAAAGGCAGGATGTGTGTGTGTGTAACGAATGCACGGCCGCAATTTTCGACGGATTGCAACCAGAATTTACATGCACATGCTCCAAGTTAGTGGGAAAGCCAAGACCGACTTTTCATTTCCCAACTCCCATCGATAGCGGAAATAATCGATTTTTTTCCATGCTTCTACGGCAGTTTTCATGTAGTTTGCGGCCATTTTATACTGGCCAGAGTGAGAACCTATAGCTGGCTGCCACGAATAGGCAGGAGGATTCTATTGGCCAGCGTGAGAGCCAACAGCTGATTGACACAAATTTAACTAGCATGCTAGCATGCAAAAAAAAAAAAAAAAAAAAT